GTTATTAAATTCTTATTACGAATTTTGGAGTGATTTACGGGAAATTTATTTTTCTGTTTGATTAGGTGTCTACAGTCCATCAGTGGGACAGGGGATTGTATGTATATTGCTTGATTGTTCTACCCTTGTTCCCACTCTCCCTACCCCCCGGTATTCTGTGAACACCGACACCTCTCAAGTACCGCATCAGTTCAGACTGATGTCGATGGAACAGGACACCGGGGCACTACCATGGCGCAGTGCCAGGATCGCAGTTCGTGCCCGCCCTGCGGTACCTCCAAGACCCAAGAGATTCAGCAGACGGACAACTCCAGCGGCATCAATGAAGGCATTGACAGTATAAGACACCACCGGAGATCTTCCCGCATGCCCGGTCCGAGAGGCCAGCGAGCCTTTGGCTGACTATCGTCGGGGGCTACAGGCATTTACAGACGCCGTAGCCGCCGCCGAGGCTCAGCAGGCTGCGGCAGAGGCAGAACGTCAGCGGCTGGCCAATGAGGCGACAGCCAAAGCTCAGCGGACAGCTGAGACTGACGAAGCGACACGAAACAGACGGAATGCCGCCAGCGCGGAGTCCCTGATTGCTAGTGAGCATCAGTGGACAACGATACTCCAAGGCATGATCTTTGTGCCTACGGAAACGCAGGCGGAGCCAACACAGGCGGAGGCAGAGAGAAGTAACCTGGCTACCGTGATGTTGAACGTAATGAGGGGAGTAATGTGGAACAACAAACTACTGCAGGCATACCTGCACGCGGAACGACAGCAAAGACAGCAGTACCAGCAAGACTTGGCCGCTGTAACGACTGGCGTCCGCGACGCAGCAATGCAGCAGCAGCAACAGCAACAGTTGATGAACTCTACCATCGCACGCATCAACGGCATTGAGGCCAAGGCCTCAGCAGCGCCAGGCTGCACGATGGACGAGACGAAGCAAATCAACGAACGCATCGATCACGTCGTTACCATCATCGGCGACATAGGTGTTTTCAACGGACCGGACACAATCAGCAGCACGGTGGCCGCCATCAAGACGGACATCACCAAGCTACAGACGAGACCGGACGCCGCTACAAAGACGTTCAAGATGCCGCACTTCGACATCTGCAAGTTCGACGACTACAACAAGTCAGACACTTTGACATGGTGGCAACGTTTCCTCACGGAAGCATCATGCCGCACTGTCCCGGCAAATGACATGTTGAAGGCACTCTATTTGCAACTGATTGGAGGAGCGCAGGCATGGATGAACCACCTGGCGGCCCCCCAAGTGCACCATCGCCAAACTCCACACGCACATCACGTGAAAGGAGTTCGAGCAGCTATGGTTCACCCGGTTCATGGTCCGCAACGTCGTGAAGGCGGCCATGAATGAGGTGTACACATGCTCTCATGGGAACATGCCAACTCGAGACTGGACAACGAAGTGGCAAAAGATAGTGACCACACCAGGCTTCGACTTGACGTTTCCAAATCAACGATCCGAGTTCTTCTCGCGATCATGCGCGGGATTGCGGTCGGCACTCGGTAATGAGTACGACTATACCACATTCTAGGTCATTCTAGATCGAGCGAACTTGGTCATCCAAACGGACGACAAGGCCGCTAACGAGAGACAATCCCAGCCGCACTATGTGGCTAAGCAGGCCTATCAACGTCCGACACATAACAATAACGTGATTTCTAAAGAAACAGACGATCTCCACGCTGCAGCAGCATCCTCGAGTGATGAAGGAATTCTAGCAGCGCTCCCGCCGAAGCGTCCCTAGAGAGTTCAGAAGAACAAGGCGACACAAGAGACAGCATCGACGGGAACTGGGCAGCAGCCATGGACGGCTTACAAGATAACCAAGGATGTCTATGACCTTCGTCAAAAGTACGGATACTGCCTCTGGTGCAACGACGTCACTCATGTGACCGCACAATGCCCTGAAAAGGGCAAGGCACGTATACCCCGTCCAACAAACTCGGGAAACTTAGTTATGCAAGGAGAGGGGCGACGTCTCTCCTCACTCCGCCGGACCCGGTTGCCTTGCTAGCAATCGATGTCACTACCGGGGAGCATGCGTTAGTCGCTGATTCTCGTGCCACGTACGAGGATTATGCCGCCCAGCTGGTACCACCATTAGACCAGCCAAGCCACGTGCACTTAGCTAGCGTATGCGCAGCCTGTACACCGTCGGCAAGTGATCC